CTCCCTTCTAATTCAATTTTTGTTCATTATTTTTAACATAATTAATTGAATTTTTCATTTTTCTAACAAATTTTAATCAGTCAATTTTAAGATTTGATGATTAAATCAACAACATCTTTGTACAAATGTAATCTTTAAGTGCATTGAAAGAACTTTCACAATAATTATCAATTAATATCAATACATTTAATTACAATTCAAAATTCAAATATTAATATACATAGATATGCCTTTTTTAAAATAGCATTGTAATCATCGTGTAGTGCAGCTTAATCAAAACATATTATTGCTTCTTAGTATTTTTACAATTAATTATAAACATATGACTAGAAATTTATAAAATGATAGAGATAAGCCTAATTAGATTTTTAATCTACTAATAATACCTTTGTTATAAAATGCTTATAAATCAGATTTCTCAATCATTATCGAAATATTAAAGAATTTAAATTGCTTCCTAATTGATTTAATTCTGATATTTCCATGATAAAAAAGGTTAGCGATAAGCCTTTAAAATAATATAAATTATTTACCTTTATAAAAATAAGAATAGCTATTAGATGGTTTTATTTTTATTACTCTATCGAAACATTATATTGCAGCCAAATTTTTATTTAATTCAAATATAGCTAAACCTTTATATGCTTAAATAATTAACTTATTTTTTTTTGATGATGATAATTCCAATTATTTGGCTCTAAATTAATGGCTTAATTAAAAAATTATGTTGCCTCTTGAAATTTTATATCACATCATTTTCCTAGCAATTACCCATTTAAATATTCTTATGTTAATATAAACTAATCAGTTAACTTCATATATGTTGACTTATTTACTAATTTGATTAAACATTCCTTGAGTTTTAATATTATCATTTACTATTTAAAAGAGAAAGCAACTAAACAATTTATCTATAATGAATGTGCCTCAAGTTTTGTTATGTATTTTTAACTTGAAAAATTACATGGTCAAATAAGTATTGATTAATCTATTGATCCAGAAATTATATCAAAAAATTTTATTTCATACTATCCTTCATGGCAAAAACAATGAAAAATCCTAGTACAATTCAATATTATTTTAGGTAATGTCACGTCTAATAATTCAAGACTTCAAATAGAATACATTCACAAGTTTGTCGGTGAAATATAAATCTTACATAGTTTGGAAATGATAATTCGATTCAACTTTATTTATCAAATAATCATGATATAGTATTGATAGTCTATAATTTTTGAATTTATATATATGCTGTAATGTTTTTCTTTTTTCTAAGTTTATTCATCATAGAAACTATTAATTCTTTTACTTACAATAAAGAGAGACGATAATACATTTACTGTTCTCTTTAATTAATCATAAATAATAGAATAATACTTAGTTGATATTATTAATGTTTCTTAAGTCATGTTGTTTTGTTCTATATTCATCTCAATTTTATTAATATTTATTGTAATCGAATATTAGAATTGATCCAATTTCTAAATTACTAATAAAATTATGATTTACCTTTAGAATATTCAGATTGTGATAATTCTTATCAATAATTCAACAAAGATCTTATTGTTTTGAATTAAATTATGATAATAAATCAAAGTAATAACGGATTTTAATCAAAAGAAGCTTAAAAAGTATTTTTTGAAGTCGGAAAATTAAAAATATACGGTTACACTTTATTATTATTATTGATGTAAACCAGAAATTTAATAATAATCCTAATCAAAATTAAAATCTCTTTCCTTCGAATGACAATCTAGAGGAGCCAGAGTAAGGTAATCTCATTATTTTTTGTAAGGTGAAATTATTAAAAGCTATTAAAAATAATTTGCTATATTGCAATTAGACGAGAAAACTCCATTTGCATCCAGTATTAAATAAAGCATAGTAACTGAGGATTTATATGATTTATTTTAACTGACCGACAAAGCTTATTGAATTTAATGAAGACATTAATGCTTATCTTTTTAACTAATTTTTTTTTCAATTTCATAGGTAATAATGAGCTAATCAATTACTAAAAAGAATATTAAAGTATCTATTAACTGGTAATAATAATCTCCAGGGATATGTAAAGTAAATTTAATTTAAGTTGATAATAAAAAAGTGTAGCTGAAAAAGATCAAAATCTTTGATAATTCTAAATAAAAGGCTTGGAAGTATAGCAATTTGTTTCTAAATGAAAAAAAAACAAATAAGTAGAGCAACTTACTATTTTAATTATCCATCTTAAAATAAATTTTACCTTTATTGTGTTATTAAGAAATTTGAACCTAAAGATGAAGAAGATAAATGTATACTATTTACAAATATATTGATAAAAACTTTGAGAGTAATTAGATTATTTTAGGAGCTGAAATAATTTATATTTTTATGATAAAATGAATAATGCAATTTAATAGCATCTAATATTTGAATCCTCTATTTAGAA